TAGCAAAAAGTTAACAAAACATTAAAAAAAAAAAAAAAAAAAAAAAGAAACAGCTTAGTATTTTATAATGCACAGGGCCAACACATGAGACTTCAGAGGAGTCTGAATGTATTCCATAACATTATCAGAAAGTAGTTCCCTTTCAGTTTCTTACACTTTCTTACTTGGCACTAGAAAGTATCTAGGCTTTCTCTAGTAGTGCTAATGTCTGGCAGGCCACAGGCCCAGAGCCTTTAACAGGCAAAGTTATTTACCTAGAATATAGTGATACTATTACCACGTCATTTATTTCAACAATTATTTTCCATTTCCAGCCAATAAGTCTTCCGTTTAATAGGCCAAATATCAAGTTTCCCTTTTAAGTCATATATTTAACTAAAAGAGAATGAAGAATGAAGTGCTTCCTTCTGCCTTATGACAACATCTAACAGAGTTCTTACATAAATTATACACACACATTCTTTTTCAGTGTCACGGCTTTTTATTTTATGTATCCCCTGAGGATTCCCACGTTTATATCTCATAGACTACAGACTCATATATCCAATTGTATACTGAATTTTTCCACTTGGATGTTCAACAAACATCTTCATTTTAATTAATTCAATGTCAATCTGTTCATCTTTTTTTTTTTTTTTTTAAAGCAGGGGCTTAGACCTGGGGCTTCCTTTTTTTTTTTTTTTTTTTTTTTAAGATTTATTTTTTAGTTTTTGAAAGTTAGAATTACAGGGGCCGGAGCTCTGGCGCAGCGGGTTAACGCCCTGGCATGAAGCGCCAGTATCCCATATGGGCGTCAGTTCTAGTCCCAGCTGCTCCTCTTCCGATCCAGCTCTCTGCTGTGGCCTAGGGAAGCAGTACAAGATGGCCCAAGACCTTGGGCCCCTGCAGCTGCATGGGAGACTTGGAAGCCCCCTAGGGAGTGAACCATCGGATGAAAGACCTCTCTCTCTCTGCCTCTCCTCTCTCTGTGTAACTCTGACTTTCGAATAAATAAATAAATCTTAACAACAACAACAAAAAAGGTTAGAGTTACAGAGCAATGAGGGGAGGGAGGGAGGAGGGAGAGATAGATAGATCAAGATCCTCCATCTGCTGGCTCACTCCCCAAATGGCCACAATGACCGTGGCTGGGCCAGTCCAAAACCAGGAGCCAGGAGCTTCCTTTGGGTCTCCCACGTTGGTGTAGGGACCCAAGGACTAGGGCCATCTTCCACTGCCCTCCCAGGTGCATTAGCAAGGAGCTGGATTGAAGTGGAGCAGCCAGGTCTCCAACTGGCACCCATATGGGATGCCAGCGTCGCAGACGGAGGCCTAGCCCGCTATGCAACAACCCTGGCCCCAACCTGTTCATCTTTAACTAATCTTCCTGCAGTCATCTTCATTAAAGTAAATGGTAACTCTGCTTCCAGTTGCCCAGGCCATAAAACCCACAATCATCTTTGATTCCTTTTATTCTAATCACACATCCTACATACAATCCATATTGTTAAAATAAATGCAAAATCCAACCCCTTATGGCTGGTGCTGCGGCACAGTGGGTTAAGCCTCTGCCTGCAATGCCAACATCCTATATGGGTGCTGTCTCTACTTCCATTCCACTCCGTTAATGCACTTAGGAAGGCAGCAGCAGATGGCCCAAGTACTTGGGCCGCTGCACCCGCATGGGAGACCTGGAGGAAGTTCCTGGCTTCCGATCAGCTCAGCTCTGGCCATTGTGGTCATTTGGGGAGTGAACCAGCAGAATGGAAGAGCTCTCTCTCTCTCTCTCTCTCTCTCTCTGTGGCTCTACCTCTCTCTGTAACTCTTTCAAAAAAATAAATCCTAAAACAAAACAAAACAAAACAAAACCCAAAAAACAGGAGCCGGCACCGTGGCTCTCTTGGTTAATCCTCTGCCTGTGGCGCCGGCATTCCATATGGGCGCCGGATTCTAGTCCCGGTTGCTCCTCTTCCAGTCCAGCTCCCTGCTGTGGCCTGGGAGGGCAGTGGAGGAGTGCTTGGGCCCCTGCACCTGTATGGGAGACCAGGAGGAAGCACTGGCTCCTAGCTTCAGATCGGCATAGCTCCAGCCGTAGTGGCCATCTAAGCGGTGAAACAACAGAAGGAAGACCTTTCTCTCTGTCGCTCTCTCTCACTAACTCTATCTGTCAAATAAAATATATATATATATATCCAATCACTTTGACTGCCTTTATTACTTGCACCTAGTTCAAACTGCCTTGACTTTTTGTGTGGTCTTTATAGCAGCCACCCTTGCTTTCTTCCTCTCTTCTTCACAAAACAGCCACATAGTACTGCAGAACATAAGGCAGGGAGTGAGTGTCCTTTGTTCAGAATGCTCCAGTGACTTCATGTTTCATTCGGAATAAAATCCACATCTTTACCATCGTCTACAAGGCCCTGCTACCTGTCCAACACCGTCTCCTTCCACTCCCCGCCTTGATCTCCCTCTCCAGCCCAAGTGACCTTCCTGCTACTCCCTAAAAATGCCAACTATCTGACAATGTATTTCTCTATGTTCTTCCAAATTTCTGTGTATCTTATCCTATCACTTCACTCAAGTCTCTCCTCAAATGTTTCTTATCACAGAGGCCTTTTTTGATCATGCTAAATAAAATAGCATCTCTCCCACCAGCCTCTGCGCACTTCCCTGCTTTATTCTTCACCAGAACTTACGACCATGAGTTTTTAGTCACCTTTCTCTATTGCTGTGACCCCAAGGCCGGGAACATAGTCAAACGCCGTTGACCGAATATGTCAGAGCAAACAAGAAAGGTGAGCATTATTCCACATCAGAGTGCCTGGATTTAATGCCTGGCTCCAGCTCGTGACTTCTGTTTCCTGTTAACACAGACCCTGGAAGGCAGCAGGTATGGCTCAGGTAACTGTGTCACAGCTACCCATATGGGAGGCCTGGATGGCAATCCCTGTTCCTGGTTCTAGCCCTAGTCCAGTCCTGGCCATTGCAAGCATTTGGGGAAAGAACCAGCAGATGGGAGATATTTTTTCTCTCTCTCAAATAAATAAAAAATAATAAAATCATAGAGAGTATTATTTCCTGCGTTAACTTCCCAAATATATTCTTGTACTAATACTGGCTTTGAATTGCAGAGAATGAAAATACATAAATAAAATAACAGCAACCAAAAATGTTATCTTTCTTTTTTTAAAAAAGATTCATTTATTTGAACATCAGAGTTACAGAGAAAGAGATCTTCCATCTGCTGGTTCACTCCCCAAATAGCCACAATGGCCAGGGCTGAGCTGATCGAAAGCCAGGAGCTTCCTCCAGGTCTCCCATGCGGGTGCAGGGGCCCAAGCACTTGGGCCATCTGCTGCTGCCAGGCCAAAGCCACAAGCCAGGAGCTTCATCTGGGTCTCCCATGTGGGTGGCAGGGGCTCAAGCTCTTGGGTCATATTCTGCTCCTTTTCCCAGGCCATTAGCAGGGAGCTGGATCAGAAATGGAGCAGCTGGGATGTGAACCCGCATTCATGTGGGAGGCCAACATTGCAGGTGGCGGCTTCACCCCAGCTGTTGTCTATTCAGTGTCAGGAACTGCAAGTTGCTTTCTGCACCTCCAGGAAAACTGAACAAAAAAGGGGAAAACAGGTAATTCAAACTCTCTGGTTCACTTACCCTGCAGCAGGTACTCCATCATGTTAATGGTGCCCCCAGTGACTGGCATCATGGTGACTGGAGGTGCCTCCATGGTGTCTGGCTGATTAAGCGGAAGACAACAGAATGGGGACTCAGGCTCCCCAGGCAGGTAAGGCACAGGATACACCTAGGAAAGAATTATAACTGTCATACATCAGGGGAGTGGAGGGACACCTGATCTAATGTGGCGCTGGTCTTGAAATCAACTCATTATCTCAAAACATTTCAAGTATCTTTATATGGCTAATCTTAGGCACTGCTGGCAGAAACATAAAAGGACATCTGCCCATAGCTACAGCAGAACTCAAGTTCTTTTTTTTTTTTTTTTAAGATTCATTTTATTTATTTGAAAGACCGAGCCACACAGAGAGGTAGAGACAGAAAGGTCTTCCATCCGATGGTTCACTCCCCAGTTGGCCGCAACGGCCAGAGCTGCGCCCTAGAACTCAAGTTCTGAAATCTCCAGCAGCCCCCTGTGCAATCTCTAGGAAGCTGTGCAACCCCTCACCCTGGCACTCAGTCTTCATGATAGAACAAGGCAGGGGCAAGCATTTGGCCCAGTGGCTTAAGACACCTATTGGGACTCCCACAGTTCATACTGGAGCGCTTGGGTTTGAGTCCCCGTTATGCCTCCTGCTAACGCCCACCACGGGAGGCAGCAGATGACGGTCTGAATAGCTGGTCCCCTGGCACCTACATGGGAGACCTGGATGGCGTTCTCAGGTCCGGCCTTTGGGGAGTCCTGTCTCTCCGACAAAGGATCAAAACTAAAATGAAGCCAACAATATTTAACGTTAACTCCGAGGCCACGTGGTTCAAATGACATAACAGACGTTCAATAACACTCAGAAGAAAGGTCTACAGAACCGGTTTACAGATGAGGCCACTGAGATTCGAAGACACGCACAGTCAGTGGCAGAGCCTGCACCAGACCAGGTTTTCTTTAAAACGAGCCGCGTACAAGCGTGACGCTCTCTTAAAATGATGGTTTAGGTCCTTCTAAGGCCGCAACCAGAACACAAGCGCACTTACACTACAAAGGCACCTCCACGGGCACTCTAACTTCTCACAAAGCCTGGAATTATATTCATCCACGCATGTCACCGCCTCTTAGTGATAACTAGTCCCCAGCCTGCAGATCACTCCAGCCCGCCCTCAGCCACCTTTTCCGCTCGTTCTCGCTGCTGCAGCAGGAAGTCCCAAGACGCACGAACCTCGGCACCGCCTCCCTGTAAGGTAAGGGTGCCGAGAGGGCCCAAAGCGCTTTTCGGAGGCCGGGCAAGCAGACGCGCATGCGCAGGACACAGTGCCGCCGTACGGCCCCCGGCGGCCGCCTCTGGGGCGTTCCTCAGAGCTGCGCGGCTGTGACGTCATAGGCTGACCTCTAGGAAACCATGTATTTTCTTCAAGTTCGAGGACCTGGAGATGTTCTGTGTAGGAAATCTCTTGGAGCTAATAAGACTGAAGAAAGAGGTTATCCCTAAACTGTGTGCACTGTAAAATAGAAATGTAAACTAGAAAATATAAAATAGAAAACAAGGTGGAGGTGCCTGAAAAGATTGAACCCGGCAATCTCTCTTCTGGGCAGTTAAAAGCAGCGCCTCGAAGAGATATTTGCACGCTGTCGTTGGCCGTAGCACTGTTTACAAGAGCCAAGAGGTGCAGAGAATGCGCGTGTCCATCATCACGTGAGTGGATGCAGAAATCGTGACTGTGAAGTGGGGAAAAGCTTGGGAAAGGAGAGAGTGGAGGAAAAAACAAAAAACAAAAACAAACAAACAAAAAAAAACAGGAGCTTTGTACAACCCTGGCTGGGAAATAACTCCGAGAAAAAAAAATTTTTTTTAATGTAAGAAATGGGATGATTTCATGAAACGCCAGAGGTAAAGATGGAGGACCGGAGGAGTCGCACGGCGCTGGGTGGCCGTGATGGGACTTGTTTTTCCGAGTTGGAAAACAGTATGGGTGCGGCAGGACACATGAGTTCCTGCGTAGACACGCTGAGCATGAGGTACTATGGGACCCAACATGGCGAAGTTCAGGGGAGGGAAGTGGGCATAGCCTCACGCCTCACAGGTTGTGCTGGAAGGCGTAAGAGTGACTGATGGCGCTTTGCCTCCGCGTGGGCCCGGCCTGCAGGTGCAGCATCTGGTGAGTGAACCCATGGGTTGGAGTGCTCTTGCTCTCTTTCTCTCGTGTCTCTAAAACAAGTTTTGGTTTTTTTTGTTTTTTTGTTTTTTTGTTTTTTTGTTTTTTTTTAATCACTTTAAAAAGATCCCATGGAAAGAGTGTCCAGAATAGGAAGAGAACTGGCCCTACGCAGAACTCTGACGGCTGTCGGACGGGCTCGTGCCCCCCAGCTTAGGCTGTGCCCCCCGACCAACCTGGGGACTCACACGATTGGGCAGAGGCGCGCACTTTCCGTGTTGGTGATCGGAGGAGGTCGTAAAGTTGCTGAATCTCTGTTTTCCTGTGCAGACACCAGTTTTATAAAGCCCAAAGAACTGCGGTTCCTTCCTTTGAGGCACTGTGGTATTTACCAAAATTTCAGCTGACATTTTGAGGTAAGGTTAGATTTAAAAGAAATAAAAATGACAGGAAATGAGTGAGCAGTATGGTAAAACCTGATTGAGGCCTAGGAGTTACATACAGGGGAGGGTTTCTCTGCTGAGGCTGTGCGGCTCTCTCCTCACAGCTGTGCAACCTTGGGCAATTCACTTCCCCTCTCTGAGCCTCGGCTTCCTTTTTTGTAAGGCAGAGCTAATAGTAGTACAGAGGGAGGTTGCAAAAATAAATGAGGTAGATAGAAAGCGCTTAGCACACCACTTGGCTGTATAAGCATTCAATTAATGGTAGCGCTATTTTATATTCAGCAGGTACATTCTACCTTATTGAATATATTTTGTGCATATCTCATCTCCCTGGATAGATTGAAGGGAGGAGTCATGTGTTTTCTTTAAAGATGTTTTTTATATGTATTGAACACATCCCAAAGCTACTAATTATTGAACAGTTGCTACACACCAGCCACTTACATGTGTGTAAAAATGCCAAATGCTACTGAAAGATAGTACCTTTCTCCACTTTACAGAGGAGGGAAAAGAGATTCAGGAAGGTAAAGTAGCTTGCCCAAGGGCACACAGCCAGTAAATGACAGAACTCAAATTCAAATTTGGTTCTTCCTGACACCAAGGTCATCTCTTTACCATGCTGCCTTCTGAATTTATGGATTCTTTCCCCCACAGTGAGTTTCCCCCAATTATTATGGTTAGTGATAGCAAAAGAGGGGAAGAGTTCATGTATTTAATGTTTCCCAGCCAATCACTAGACTGGTCTGAAAGGAAGACCAGTATTTGGACAGCCTGCATCTGCACAGCAGACTATTCACGTGGATCACAACACACACACATACAAACACTGTTCCTTCAACAGCTTTCTGGAATGGTCTAATGAGAATTTAAATGGCCCTACCTTCCTATTATACTCAATGTTTGATTCTCAACCTTAGCGTTACAACCTAGTTCTGTAGGAAAGAGCTGCTTTGTGTTAGCTGCTTCCGATACACATAGCCTATGCAACAGATAACAGGTAGAACCATTGCTTTTCTGTCCTATTATCTCCAGTGTCCTCATTACTTTATAGCAGTCTTCACTTAGAGAAAAAGCCAAAATCCTTATTAAACCTATATGAGCAGCTCTCATCCCGTTACCTATCTGATAAGACATTGTCAACCATCCTCCTCTGAGCCCATCCCTGCCCCCCCCCATCCACACAACTTGAATATGTCAGGGATACCCTCAGTTTAAGTCTTTTTAATTTTTAATTTTTTTAAAATTTTTTGTCAGGCAGAGTTAGACAGTGAGAGAGAGAGTTATAGAGTGAGAAAGAGAGAGAAAGGTCTTCCTTCTGTTGGTTCACTCCCCTAATGGCCGCTACGGCCAGTGCTGTGCTGATCCGAGGCCAGGAGCTGGGTACTTACTCCTTCATGCGGGTGCAGAGACCCAAGCACTTGGGCCATCCTCCGCTGCCCTTCCCGGCCATAGCAGAGAGCTGGTCTGGAAGAGGAGCAACCGGGACTATAACCCCGGGGTGCCAGCGCCGCAGGTGGAGGATTAGCCAAGTGAGCCACAGCGCCGGCCATCAGTTTAAGTCTTTGGCAGTTGTACAAACTGCTTGGGATTTCCCTTCTCCCTCTGAAATGCAGGATCCACTCCCTTGCTGCCTTTTGGTCTCTGCTTAACTCTCCTTTTTATTAGTGATGACTTCCCTGACCACCTATTTAAAAAGCGCAATCCATGGGGCAGGTGTTGTGGTAGTGGGTTAAACTGCTGTTTGAGATGCCCATATCACATATCAGAATACTTGGTTCAAATCCTGGCTGCTCCGCCTCACCTTCCTGCTAATGCATCTGAGAGGTAGCAAATGATGGCCCACATGTATCCCTGCCACCCACCTACATGGGAGACCCAGGTGGAGTTCTGGGCTCCTGGCTTCAGCCTGACCTAGCCTTGGCTGTTTCAGATATTTGGGGAGTGAATCACCAAAGAGAAGAAATATCTTCTCCCCCCCTACACTTATTTATTTATTTTAAATAAGTTTTTAAAATAAAACTGCAGGGGTTGGTGTTGTGGAGTAAAGGGTAAAGCTGTCACCTGCAGTGCTAGCATTTCATATGGGCATCGGTTTGTTTCTTAGCTGCTCCACTTCTAATACAGCTCCCTGTTAATGGTCTGGGAAAAGCAGCAGAGGATGGCCCAAGTGCGTGGGACCCTGCCATCCAGGTGGATGACCCAGAAGAAGCTACTGGCTCCTGGTTTCAGCCTGGCCCGGCCCCTGCCATTGCAGCCATCTGGGGAGTGAACCAGTGAATAGAAGATCTCTCTCTGTTTCTCCCTCTCTTTCTGTGGCTGTTTTAAATGAATAAGTAAATCTTTAAAAGATCAATCAATCAATAAAATTGTAATCCACTATCTTTCCTGCCTCCATACCCTACTGTGTGTTTCTTCACAGTACATTTGACTAGGTGACACACTAGCAATTGTTTTTCGTATGTTGCCTCCCATTAAGATTATAAGTTACTGGGGTTGGCGCTGTGGCGTAGCAGGTAAAGCCATTGCCTACAGTGCCGGCATCACACAGGGGTAGTGGTTTGAGTCCTGGCTGCTCCACTTCTGATCCAGCTCTCTGCTATGACCTAGAAAAGTAGTGGAAGATGGCCCAAGTCCTTGGGCCCCTGGACCTGCGTGGGAGACCCAGAGGAAGCCCCTGGATCCTGGCTTCGGATTGGCGCAGCTGCGGCCTTCTGGGGAGTGAACCAGTGGATGGAAGACCTCTCTCCCTCTCTCTGCCTCTGCCTTTCTGTAGCTCTGCCTTTCAAATAAAATAAATAAATCTTTGAAAAGAAATTACAAATTTCTGGGGCTGGTGCTATAAAGTAGCAGGTTAAGCCACTGGCTTCAATGCCAGCATCCCACATGGGTGCCATTCAAGTCCTGGATGCTCCACCTCCCATCTGGCTCCCTGCTAATGGCCACGAAAAACAGCAGAAGGTGACCCAAAGTGGTTGGACCCCTGGTACTCCATGGGAAGTCCAAGTGAAGCTCCTGGCTTCCAGCTTCCGCCTGGCCCAACCCCAGCTGTTGAGGCCATTTGGGGAAGGAACCAGTGGATAGAAGACCTTTCTCTCTCTAATTTTGCCTTTCAAATAAGTAAATAGCTCTTTAAAAAAAAAAGTATAAGTTCCAGGGCCTGAGTTGGGGTGCAGCAGGTTAAATCACTGCTTGTGATTCTGGCATCCCATATCCAAGAGCTGATTTGAGCCTCAGCTCTTCTACTTCCTATCCAGCTTCCTGCTTATGCTCCTTAGAGGCAGCAGATGATGGCCCAAATACTTGGGCCCCTGCCCTCTAGTTGGGAGACCAGGATGGAGTTCCTGGCTCTTGGCTTTGGCCTGGCCTGGCCCTGGCTATTGCGCCATTTGTGGAATAAACTAACGGGTGGAAAATCTTCCTCTGTTTCTCTCTCTGTTGCTCTGCCATTGAAATAAATAAGTAAATATTTAAAAAAATATTTTTATTTATTTGAGAGGTAGAGTTACAGACAGTGAGAGAGACAGAGAGAGAGGTCTTCCTTCTGTTGGTTCACTCCCCAGATAGCCGCAAAGGCTGGAGCTATGCCGATCCGAAGCCAGGAACCAGGTGCTTCTTTTCGGTCTCCCATGTAGGTGCAGGGGCCCAAGCACTTGGGCCATCTTCTACTGCTTTCCCAGGCCATAACAGAGAGCTGGATTGGAAGAGGAGCAGCCAGGACTAGAACTGGATAAATACACCTGTCTTCATGCATCCATAGAGGGATTCTTTCCATTACCTGGCTCAGATATCAAAATCCATGGATGCTCAAGTCCCTTATGTATAATGGTGTGGTATTTGCATATAACTCATGAACATCCTCCCATAGAGTTTAAGTCACCTCTTGATTACTTGTAATACCAAATATAATGTAAGTGCTACATAAATAGTTGTACTATATTGTTGAGGGAATAATGAAAAGTCTGTGTGCACTCAGTACAGATGCAATCTTCCCCCAGATGTTTTCAATCTGCAGTTTGCTGAATCCTCAGATGCAGAACCTGCAGGTATGGTGCTGGCTGTACTGTATTTGTTGAGAAAATTATTGGTATATCTGATAGCAGCAGAAGGGTTATCAAATGATTTCCTTGGTCTTCTACATTTAGCACTAGATACAGTGAAGCCTAAGTCCTTAAATTCCAGGCTGGGACACTCACCTCCCCCCCCCCCTTTTTTTTTTTTTAAATATTTATTTGAAAGACAAAGTTACAGAAATAGAGGTAGAGACTGAGAAGAGAGCTTTCACCTGCTGGTTCACTACCCAAATCGCCACAATGACTGTGACTCAGCCAAGCTGAAACCAGGAGCCTGGAATTCCATCTAGGTCTCCCACACTGGTGGCAGGAGCCCAGGGACTTGGGCCATCTTCTGCAGCTTTCTAAGGCACATTAGCAGGGAGCTGGATTGAAAGTGAAGCAGCCGGGACTCAAACTAGCACATATATGGGATGCCAGCATTGTGAGTGGCAACTTAACCTGCTGTACTACAATGCCAGCCCCCTCACCTTTCTTTTAGATATGTGCT